CTTCAGTAGTTAGCGATTAAGTTGTGACCAATCATGTCTTCTGGATATGTGCTTTTGAAAAAAACGGAAACATCTTAAAGAGAGAGCTCAATTAATGAAAGTTTTTAAGGACATTTGGGGTGTTTTTTGGTCACACAAACCGCTGGGTACATGGTACGTGCTCTAGCTGCACATAGATAGCATGTTTAAGAATCATTCGTTTCCGATTCTTTCTCTCACGTCTTAACCAATCACTGTATCTTAGTTACGCAGCTTTCCCTCAGGCAAGAAACGATAAATAAATTCATGAAAGTAAAAAGCTGCGATTTAGGATGTTTTTACACCAAAGGCTGTGTGATTTTAGTTTCTGAGTCGACAAATACTTTGAGTTTTGCCCAGCCTGTTTCCAAAAGGTTACGGTTTCTCTGTGACCTTGAATAAATTGAAGGGAACGCCGAACCAATGCATTGTTTTCCAAATAATTACCTTTTCCAAAATAGGAATTTCTAAGAACCTTTGTTTTTTTTTGTTAAACGAACAATACATTATGATGTGACTCAACCGCTCCGACCGCAATTTATATTCTGGAGCATTCAGCCGAAACAGTCCAAATTCGTTCGTGTATATTGGTTTAGCGGGACAGATGTCTGATTTGTCTAGAGTTTGTATCATGTATGTTGAGAATTGACGTTATTGAAAACAGAGCTGGTCGGTAAATTTTTTGAACAGGTAGATATGTGACCACGAATTGGAAAGATCATAAAACAACATTCCAGAGTTATGCTCAAAATTAAGACCTTGTTCGCGAAATTATACGGTGACGTTTGACTTTTGGGTTTTTTTTTATCATTTTTTGCTCAGTGTTTCAATAGATGCGCTTAGCTTCGAGCCGGACAACGAAGATCAGCTGCGAGTTTTTATGGCCTTATGCCGTGAAGTACACCCACGCAAAGAAATAGACCCGCTCATCGTGTCGTGTCAGTCACGCTTCGTGGGCGACAATGCTGTTTTTTTTTTTATTTTTCGAGAAAGTTTTGTGTTAATCAGTTCTTAACAATCTACCCGCTCCATAGGGCAATTTTGATATTGCGTCTAGCATAATTGGAATGTTTTCTATAAAAACTAATTCACGTTGGAAAGAGATTGAACGTAGATTTAACTTCATAAGCCTTTACTGAGAATGATTCAATCATAATCTGTCTTTCTAATCTATTTTTTCCCTCCATTTTTCATCCTAATTATTTTCCGCCCGAAAAAGCCCGATGTTTACTTTCCGCTAGGCTTTTCGTGGAAATCGGATTGGAGTTTTGAACTTGGTGGAAATTGTCACCCCATGTGGGGTGGTTCTCGGAAATATAGAATGGGATATTAACAAGAAATCGTTGTTCGATCTGCTTGTAAAGGGATTTCCTTCCATTTCAATTTCTTATGCGTAGAGACACGGGAGAAAAAGGCGCGTTAAATCTCGGCTTGGTAAAAGAAAAAATAATAAGCTGAGTGAATTAACAAAATATCAAGTTATAAAATAACATTCAAACTAAGGGACAGCCTGGGTTCAAAGGAAAATTAAATTAAAATAGTTTTGCATGTTTTCGATGTGTAGTTAATACCCGGAAGTATTGGTGTGAGCCTATTATATTTACGCCAATAAGAGCTAAAAGATGGATTAGTTCCATACTTGGGTCTGTATGTAACTTCTTCAGAAGTGTCTGAGACTTTAAGCTTTCAATATTAAGTGTACCTCCAAGAAATGTAAGACCGCTCTTCGTTTTAATATTTTTTAAAAACACTTTTTAAACTTCTTTTCAGGTCCTAGACGAGAACGACAACGCACCGGAAATCTCTGTCACTCTCTTTCCAGATGAATTCGACAAACAAGGCAAGATTCCCGAAGATATCGCCCTTAAGACGTCTATTGCTCAGGTAACAGTGCGCGACAAAGACAGCGGGAGCAATGGTCGCGTGAAAGTCACGCTACAACACCACAAGGATGACTTTGGTCTGCAGGAAATGTTCGCTGGGCTATACATCCTGCAAATTCGGCACCCGCTGAGTCTAGACCGCCATGATCAGTACAAGATCAAGATCGTTGCCGAGGATCAAGGTTCTCCAATTTCACAAAACAGTAGTTATGTGCTCGTTGTCAAGGTGGCTGACAGCAACAGAAACGCTCCAAGGTTCGATCAAAAGCTTTACAATGTAGGCGTGAATGATGACGTCAAGCCAGGGACCATCATTACCACGCTGACGGCGACTGACGAGGATGACGGGAATAATAGTGAGTTAACTTATAGCCTGGAGGACATGCGCATTGGTGAGCGCAATGGCAGCGTTGAGGAAGTGACAAAATGGTTTGCTATCGATTCCAAAACTGGACAAGTGCGAGTGCTCAGAAAGTTGTGGTGTGCTTTCACTCCTTACTTCCAGTTGAACATTGGTGTTCGGGATAACGGCCGGGTGCCTTTTCATGGTAAAACTACCCTAAAAATTTCCGTCCCGTGTTCAAAGAACACGTACAACTTTAGTGTAACAGAGAATGAACCCGAAGGAGTTGAAGTCGGAAGAGTTCCACTCGAGCCTATCGAAAGCAACAGACCACTTCGTATAAGACTACTCACGCATACTGCGGAATTTGCTATAGATGAGAACAAGAGTACAATAACGACAAAAAGAACGCTCGACCGTGAGAGAAACAGCTCTTATTCCTTAATAGCTGTTATAACTGATGGAAGAGTCGCCATGAATGTTACCGTTTTTGTTAAGGTGGAGGATATCAATGACAATGCTCCCATTTTCGTTGGTTTGGAAAACAGTCATAATCTGACATTATCCGGTGCACTTTTCGTTGGGGAAACTGTACTGAGGCTTCGAGCGACTGACAGAGATTCTGGAGCTAACGGTCTTGTTAAATTCTTCATCGTTAGTGGCAATAAGGATCGAGTATTCCATTTGAACAAGCGCACTGGAAAGATCACGCTTAACAAGGAGCTCAGTAGAAAATTGTACATTTTAACCATTAGAGCAGCAGATTCGGGAGACGTTGAGAACGAAGCTTATCTGCGGTTGATAATTTCGGTCAGATACATAACTCCTCCACCGCCACCTCCAAGTTTTCCTGGAGACGGGTCTATCAACGATGATGGTGAGGTAGAATCGCGGACCGGAATCGCAGGGTTCTTTTCGGATTCTAAGATGATCATTATTGTCGGAGCCTGTGCTGGGTTTGTGATCCTTTCAATTCTTCTTGTCGCGGTTTTCATCTTGAAGTTCAGGCGTAAGGATAAAAGGCGAGAAGATAAGCGTGGTAGCTACCACGAACCGGATATAAGTCGGGAAGATGCTTTGAAAGCTTCCAAGAAAATGTTCCAACAAGCGACCACAAATCCTGGTCAAGCCGCCGAAGCTTACTTGTACGCCTCACGAAAGCACCCGATTCACGTGTCGCCAATCCCGATAAAGAAGATGCACTCAGCAATGACATATCAAGCTCCACCGGGGCCGGTTTCCCCCACAAAAGACTCGCGGCAAGACATGTATTACCCGTTTGTCCAGGGTGTAGCGGAGTGCCACAGTAGCGAGGACGAAGCAGACAGTGGGCGTGGTGGGAGCTCTCATGAGTCCACTCCTTATTACCCTCACAGTCCCCCATCCAAAAAGAGAGAAGACGATTTTAGACCTTCGCAGCAGCATCATCATCACCCTCACCGGGCCCGTAGCCCTGGTATGCCACCTCCTCCTCCACCATACGAGGAAGTTCAAAGGAAGAGAGCCTACGTAAGCATTTCTGGTATCACGCATTCCACAACAGAGCTGTAATATTGTGGAAGGTATTGACACGAACTGAACTATGTCCTTTAGTAAAGGATAAACCACAGAATCGCAAGCAACTCTTCTAAGGGATCTTTCGACATTTCACATAGTGTCTTTATTACTGTCCTCGGGGGAGAGGGGAGGGGAGGGGCTAAAGCGAGTCGGGTGTAGATGTTACGTCAAGATTCCCCATTATTACAACTCGCGTACCTTTTGGTCTTTGTTTTCAGTCCTTCGCTGGTTGTAGGTTTTTGCCTTAAAAGGGCCAGGTGTTTTATCCATTCAGTTACCGTTGCAATTCTTTACCCCCACAGGACTTGTCATTTAAGAGTCCTCACGTCCATAAATTTCTTCTCTTTCCTTTCTTATAGACATATTTTATCGCGTCGGTCTGTCCTTCTTTCCCCTTAGTACAGTAACGAAGACTGTGAAACACTCGAAACTCGCATAAAATTTTATATTCACGTTGATATTCGTGATCAAACGATTTAAATTAATGATAATGCGAAATTGGCCCGCCTGCCGCCAGCCACCCGATACATTTTGTACAATGTTAGAATATTTATAGAGAGCAGGCCAGTTCTGCATCTTTCGAACAATGGATACTCGTTGCGTTATCTTAAAAAATTTAGACTCTCTTAAACTTTAGAGGTCTAATGAGACAATATTTATAAGCTACGAACGATAATGTTCAAACGTTGGTTATCTTGGTGCTGTGATCAGCAAGGGAGGCGTAAAGATGTTAATTTTTATATAACACGAATATGATTAGAGTATTATAGAATCGTTTTTCTTAATGTGAAAGGAAAATTGATTTTTGTACAATTCTAAGTAGTGATTAAATTCAATAAAAGAATCAGTCTTAAGAAAGACGTACTTGAAAGTGGCTACAAAGTTTTTGTTGTCTGTTTTTGTATCCTCTTTTGTTAAAATTGTTTTCGTTGTGACTGTGATAGCTGCCAGAACCTTCTTCCGGATAGAAGGTGGAAAAAGTGTAGAGAAGTTGTTGGACGTGACCACATGCAAACTTAGCTCCCTAAGTTGACACGGCTTAGAAAAAGGGAAAAGGAATTTATGAGAGAGAAAGATTCAGAAACAAAGGATGCGTCGGTGGGAGTTTAGGGGAGGTACACAGACAATTTGTACCTACCCAGGGCAGTATAGGACCAGAAATTATTCCTTCCCTTATCTAAAATATAAGTGAAGATGCCGGTTGCAAATGATTCTTGTTTATTCCTTTTTCTGCAGTTACCATTACATTGTCTTGGCCACAACTACTTTGCTACACTATACTCCTATTCTAACCAATTAGCCAGAGGGGTATGTACATGAGGAATCGTCAATGACAGGAAGATTCGTCATAATATGCATTAGTCGCCGGCGAGGAGAGTCCTCTTTGCTTAGTTATCTTCAGGCTTTCCCTCATATGATGAGCCATTCGTTATTTTATTTATTCTTTGTGGGAGGTAGAAAAAATGGTTATGTGTGCCTATTTTGTTAATGAGTTCAAACCTGATTTCTGGCGGTACAAAACACTTCGCTTCTGAGAACCGTTATATCTGATAACAGCGCGAGCTTTCATTTACAACTAAGGGAAAATAATTAGTCAGATGTTCTCACATCAGATTTTCCAAAGCAACTTATTTATTGAAGAGTCTTGCTTCGGCCCCAGCCGGGTTGTGGTGCAATCATGGGAGTAGCCTGGGGAGGATTCACGCTCTCGGGTACATCAGCTAAAGGTTGCTGCTGTTCTTCTGTCGGAGGAGGTTGTAGAAAGTCATTCTGATCGGTGGGAGGAGGGTTATCATTTTGAAAAGCCAGAGGCTGATTCTCGTTTTGAAAAGCATTTACAAGAGAGGCGTCATTCAATCCTGTTTCCGCGCTTGGTTGAGTTCCGCCAAAATTTGTCTGTGGGGCGGCTTCACTGCCGAGCTCGTCATTTTGAAATGCAGCCATTGGTGGCACGGCAGGTGGAAACGGTGCCATTGGCTGTGGATAGAAAGGTGCCTGTGGTTGCTGTTGGTATGGCGATGGTTGCTGGAACATGGGAGGTGCATAACTTGGCTGCACAGGATTCGCTGGCATCGAGGGAGGGGCAGGTGGAGGTGCTAGAGGTTAGATGAAAACACAGTCAAGGAAACCGTCTTCAATATCTTTTTTCTAGGCATTAGTGAGACTGGTACCGAGTGTTGTAGTGGTGGCTACCAAACCTAGGCGCGGTAGCCAAGGGTGAGTTCAAAAAAACGATATACAGTTGCGACTGGCGGTTTTGTCCGTATTAAAAACTGTTTCTTTTTAGAGGTTTTGTCTCTCGTACTTTACACATTACAAAATTTAGATTTCCTCTTGTCCACCGAGTGGAAGTTAACGTAAGGTGTGCTGGATACAGAACAGTTTCATTTTTTAAATTTTTGTTTAACCTTTGCAATTGCTATCCATTTTAAGCTATGACTGGATGTACTAGGTCAAAACGCAGGTTTTGCAAGTCTTGGTCGTCAATTATCATGACAAACTTTCTCGGGAAGAGAATAGGAAGAGTTGGATTAAGAACAAGTTTCAGAGAACAGTACGTCTCAATAATTTAAAGTAGTTATAAGTCGATGGACAAACTTTCTGGATCCGGCCCTGCGAGGCCGGGTAAACCTGACAAGCGTGAGAAAGCGAAAAGTCATGCGTGCGAGGATGAAGAGAGTCCTGGTTCCTAGTGCCTACTCTCTCTCTGACAGTTTTATTGATTTAAATCTGAAAAATTATGTTTTTTACCTGCAGGAGCGGCAGCTGCTCCCAAGAAATCCATGACAGTACATGAAAACGAAATAGAAACAGAAGAGAAATGTTTTAAAAACTATAAACATGATCCATGGGATCAATTAACGAGAAACGAACCGGTTCACTGAGAACTTATTTAATATAATCTCCTCTAATTGACCCGTAAGTAAAGAGGAGGAAATTTCACGGTCCCCTCTTAAAATATACCTAAAAAAAAAAGGAGAGCTGTTACTTCCGAAGGAATTGAAAATACGAAAGGTATTCCCAATATTAACAGAGATGGAGAGTTTCTAACAAATGCTATCAATGATTTGCAGGTAAAGATGATGTTCTTAAACACCTTTCATCTACACACCCGAAGTAAACGGAGGAGCAGGATTGAATTTTTGCGATAAGCCCGTCGGGTAAAGATAATGTTCTTAGACACCTTTCATCTACAACTCCCGAAGTAAATGGAGGGGCAGGATTCAATTTTTCGGATAAGCTCGTCAGCTTGGCTTATATTAACTATAACACTGTCAATGCGTATCTCGCTCTGCAATGGAACAAGGAAATTTTTCCGGCCTTCCCTCTCTACCTGTGTAGTAAGGCCCGCCTTCTAAACGGCCCAGACCCCTTCTGACTACGACTAGAATTTTTTTCCATACCACCTCTGTCTCACCACTTAACTCTTTCTTTCCTCCCATTGGCTCATAAAGAAGAAAAATCGATTTCCAAAGTGAATCATTTTACTCACCCGACGGATCCTTGATACATGTTGGTCTATTGACAGCAATGGCATCCTTACATTTGGGCATTACACATGGAACATACTGAACCTTGCACGTTTGGCCAACTGGACACTGGAATTTCTGATCAAGAGAAAGAAGTAACAAAAATACTGTAACGTTAAGAAAAATAAATTGCTCGAAGCTGTTCTAGATTAGAATAATTTATATCTAGAAAATACTCCAGTGCGGTTTCGTTGCCGAAGTTGTTTTGAGACTTCATTCTGTAACTGCAAGAGAATGTAAACTCAGTTCATATTCTCTTGGTAATTGGTCATAGTTACCGAAGAAGCTTGTGCAAACTGAAAATAAATCAGTCAAATGCAGGACCTAACGACCACGTTATGCGCTTTGACGCTACCTCGTTTCGCGGTCTGTCCTCCACCACCTGAGGATGTGGAAATGAAGTTGGCTTTCTGTGGTTTTTTTTCAATGTTTCATTTCAGGTTTTCGCTGAATCGGTAACTGAATTGTTCGACCTGACTAACGCTATGATTGCTTTGACTTTATTGGCTAGAGAACTGTGAAACACTGCTGTGAGTTATCAACCATCCTTGATAAAAATAACTCATATGACTTACCTTGCATGGGTCAGGATCTCTCACTAAAAAAAACAGCGGAAAATTCGATCAAAAAATGGAACGATTAACCCTTAATTGTTCAAGATCTTATCGGTAATTCTCCTAACTGTCTGTCATACAATTCTTATGATGTTAATTCTGAGAATTTGGTACTGGATCAACTAGAAAATCCTCAAACTTATATTTTTTTTCTTTCTTCTCATTACGTGTCTGATTGATATTGTATTAATATTTTAAGGAGAAATTGTGTGTTGGTCACTCATGGAGGTTAAGGTGATTCACAAAGTGAAAACACCTCTCCCTGAAGGAGATACTTCAGGATGCTTTAGTATATTTAGCTTTGTACGAAAAGAAAATCACAAGAGAGACGATTGTAACCCGACAGGGATCGATCAAGGATTGCTAAGGATAGAGAGGGTTAAAACGGAATGGTAAGAACGGAGTTTAAAAATTATGAATCAATTTGCACAATAGTCTGTTTGCTAACCTTCTATTTTCCCTCAAATCATAGTTCGCAGCGAAAGCGAGATTATTGAGAAAGGATGTGATAGCAAAGGGTAGGTATTTTCCTCCGCCCTTCTCATCCGTTCTCGCCTTCTTACATCCCGCTTCCTCTCGAAACTACATAAAAAGACTGTGAATGAGCCTGCGTGGCTGACGAGTTTGTGTACGCCTTATGGTTTTGTGTGCGCCAGGAGATGTACGGTGGGGCCGCTAGTGGAAAATCAATTGCGTCCCAAGCCCCTCTTAGCTTCGCCGCTCATCGCTGTGTCGCTTCCAAAACCACCAGATATGCATTGCGCAGACTAGTGGAGGATACACTTCGACATGGTTATTTTATTAATCGCTCCATTAATCAGACTGGTAAGTCTTACTTGTGGGGGTGCAGACCATGCCACCGCAATAGTTCCTACAGCACTTGCGGTCTGCATCACAATGACTGTCTTCTGAACACTCGGAATCGGTACATTTTGGATTGGCGTCATCTGGCAGCACATAAGCGACCCCCCAAAAATTCAAGCGAGGATCCTTTATCTTGAAGTTATTCTCCGGTTTTGCGCACAAACCGGTACGGGACAGATATCCTGAGAAACAGATAGTCGAAAAGAACATAACCGCCAGTTCCTCGCTATATATTCGCACTTTACAGTATTTCATAAGGCTACCCTAAATGTTTTCAAAAACCAAACTACATTCCTGGTTAGGCTGAGACATTGTGAGAGCAAAGTGCCTTGCCTAAGAACGCAATGACCCAATATGGGGTGTAACTCTAACTCAGACTCATCGATCACTGAGTCCCAACGCACAAAGCATCATGGAAAAACGTCTACCTTATATGGTAATTGCACCTTTCTCGATAGATTTGTTATAGAAGTATGGTTTTCATTTAATTTTTTCTAGTACAGTGAACAATCTCTATCGCAACTTACCTCTTTTATTTCTCTTAATTGAACCTGTGTGGAGACAACATAATATTAAGTTATTTCATAAGTGATGGTATTCAGGCAAAGGCGCAGATCCTGGAAATTTTGTTTAGGGGGGGAGGGGATCCAAATTTTGCCGGATTCAGTAAAACACATTTTTTTACACCAGAGGCTAATTAAGTTAAGAAATATTAAAAGATTAGTGAGTTTTAAATACTTCACGTTACGCAGCAATATACGATCCTGTCGTTGGAAGAATTGAAGCTTTAGATTTGTTGTGACAATACCCAAAGGCCTGTTGGGAGCGGGGTATGGAGCCCGGGACCCTCCCCCTGAATATACCTCTGTGGCACCATAAACTTAAAAACTTTAGCGAAAGAGTTACCTGCGTGACAGAGTATGACATATCCAGCCAAAAGTAAAACTACAAATGCCCTCATACTTCAACTCATCCAGGGGTTGAACTCCTGCAGTGAATAAAAGAGGGATCAACAGTAAAGCTCAAATAACAAAGCTTGAGTCCTTATAAATAAAGAAATATGAACCACGTTTATGCAAACGACGAAGAGCAAGCATCGATCTTTGGGTTTCTGCCTTTCAGGCCATTTGTTCACAATAATGTGGATTTATTACATGTTTTGTGGTTAAGAGAAATTCGTCTTCTTTTCCGCTAGATCTAATAAAAATTAAAGGGAAGACTGCCAAAGCAGTGTTCGAAAAAAAAACGTGGTTCTCAACCTGTTAAGTTAAAAAAAAAATTCAGACTAACGCGTAGACGTCCGAAAAAATATATATTATTTCCTTAATTGAATTAACGTAATTCGCAGTGCGGGGGTTTTCATAGACTGGTTAAGCCGGGTGTTAAATCTCTTACTATATTAATCACCCACAGATGAAGCTAGATTATTGCAATTCCAATTATTTCTTTTTCTAAGGATGTTATTGATACCGTATTTGGAACTTAAAACAGATTTTTAATTAATCTACATCCGCCTCAGACGCCATAATACAATAAAAATAGACGATAATTAGTTTATGGAAAACGCGAGCAGCAAAATTTATCCGTGATTTTGCTTTCTCGAATTTCTTCTTGACTTTAATAGATTTAGTGGTTCTAAAAGATCTAGGTGGAAAAACAAAAATATCTCCCATTCACAACGGGTGAAACAATTTTCATATTATTGCACAAGATAGGATAAATCCAATTCTTGCAATGTAAACGAATGTTCTATATTTCTCCATAGGTGATGTGGATGTAATAATAGAAATATAGGGAGAGGTAAAGGGAACTCAAGAAGAAAATGAATATGCAGCTTTTCTTGTTTCCATAAGGAAATGGAAGATACTCTGACTTAACGCTATGGACCACTGTACAAGAGAGCAAAGCATAGTGAACTCTAAAATTGAATAATGTTAGTTATTGATAGAAGAGAAGTTGCTTATTAGAAGCTTCCATCACATGAATTTCATGCTTAGCGATCATTACCGCTAATTAAAATTTTTTAATTCCATGCTCGAACACCGTTTTGGGGGAAAGAAAGAGAAAAATCTACGCGAAGGATAATTTACGACTAAAATGAACCAATAATGACTTCTTTCTCACCCTTTACGCTTAAAACTTTCAAATTTGGTTCCAAAGATAAGATAGCGTTTGAACAGTGATCATACACTCGTTATCTCATCATACATTCGGTGTAGGCCTCGATAATATTCGTTTATAGTGAGTTTGTCTGGATCAGTTTAAGATTTATCTATGGTCTGGGTACCTGTTTGTTGTAATGACAGGTTGTCGATGGTTTTACACATGAATAAGCTCACAACAATTCTTTTGATTTACTCGAGATAAAAAATTCGGGAGTAGCCTATACGATGTAAACTAAAATTTTATCGTTTCGGCTGTTCGAAAAAAACACAGTTCCTGATTTTATCTAGTCTGGTGCAATGGTATGACTCTAACTTGAACAAGTGATTCCTTTAATGTCTTCAGACCGCCTACTTCCGGTACAACTTCGTATGCCTCGTAATCTTTCGGAGAACTTTACATCAAAGTATCAGCAGCGAGAGAAAAAATCAAAATAACTTGGTTTCTGTAATTACTTTAAAATTGTGTGATTTCTTGCCCGCGGTATTTATGTAGAGTATACCAGAGAGAGTTACAAACGATGTTAACAATTTCAACCTGTAAAAT